CATTTTTGGAAGTGAGGTACTGAAGTCTCCAACTATTATTATACAACTATTTCTCCCTTCAAATGTATATGTGTTTCATATATTTTGGGGTTCTCTTTTGTAACTTATATCCTCTTGTTGAATTGATTCTTTTACTCACACATAATGTACTTCTTTTCTCCTGTTACAGTCTTTTACCTAGTTTATTTTTTCTGGTGTTATAGTATAGTCACCCCAGCTCTTTTGGTTACTATTTATTTGCATGTAGTATCTTTTTTCACCTTTTACTTTACACTTATTTGGTCTTTGGATCTAAAGTAAGCCTCTTGTAGACAGTATGTAGTTGGATCATGCTTTTTCATCCACTGTGCTAATATCTGCCTTTGGAGGGTTTAAACCATTTATAATTAATTATTGATAAGGAAGGATTTACTTCATTTTGCTATTAGTTTTTGTTATCTTTTACCTCTTTATGTCCCTCATCTCCTCTATTACTGTCTTCTTTTGTGTTATTTTTTGTAGTTTACCATCTTAATTTTCTTCTTTTTCCTTTTATGGATACTTTAAAGATTTTTTTTTTAATGGCATAATGGGAATTACAATTAACATCCTAACACCCTAAAACAATGTAGTTTGTCCCCCCATCACAGCTATTTTAGTTTTTATTCCCTAAGCTTTACTGAAATATAACTGACATACATCATCATGTAAGTTTAAGGTGTACAATGTAATGATCTGTACACCGACACATGTATACTGTGAAATGATTACCATCGTAAGGTTAGTTAACACATCCATCACCTTATATAGTTATTATTATTATTTTTTTTAAGTAATCTCTACACCCAACATGGAGCTCAAACCCATGACCCAAGATCAAGAGCGGTATGCTCTACCAACTCAATCAGCCAGGTACCTCCTTTTTTGTGTGTTAAGAATTTGTAAGGTCTACTTTCTTAGCCATTTTCAAATATATAATACAGTATAACTGTAGTCGCCATGATGTACATTAGAACCCCAGAATAAAACCATCAAGTTTGAAATGATAACAACTTAGCCACAACAGCATACAAAAACCCTACTTTTTTTTTTTTTAAGATTTATTTATTTGAGACAGAGAGAATGAGAGAGTGAGCACATGAGAGGGGGGAGGGTCAGAGGGAGAAGCAGACTCTCCACTGAGCAGGGAGCCCAGTGCGGGACTCGATCCAGGGACTCCTGGATCATGACCTGGGCCGAAGGCAGTCGCTTAACCAACTGAGCCACCCAGGCGCCCCCAAAAACCCTACTCTTATACACCTCTGCTCCCCACTGTCATGTTGTCACAAATGTATCTTCGCATGTTATGTTTAATATAGACTTATAATTATTTTTATTAATTTGTCTTTTAAATCATTTAGGAAATAAAAAGTGGAGTAATAAACCAAAAACACATTAATATTAGCTTTTATAGTTACCAACGTAGTTACCTTTACTAGAGATTTTCATTCGTTTATATGGCTTTCAGTCCCTACTTAGTGTCCTTTCATCTTAACCTGTAGGACTCCCTTTAGCATTTGTAATAAGGTAGGTCTATTGGTAATAAATATCCTCAGGGGCGCCTGGGTGGCTTAGTCAGTTAAGCGTTTGCCTTTGGCTGAGGTCATGATCTCAGGGTTCTGGGACTGAGCCCCAAGTTGGGCTCCCTGCTCAGAGGGGAGTCTGCTTTTCTCCCTGTCCTCACCCCTGCTTGTGCACGTGCACGCTCTCTCTCCCAAATAAATAAATAAAATCTTAAAAAAAGTCCTCAGCTTTTATTTATCTGGAAATATCTGGGAATATCATTTTGAAGGGTCATTTTGCCACATATGGAATTCTTGGTTGACAGTTTTTTCTCTCTCAGCACTTTAAATGTCATCCCACTGCCTTCTGACCTCCATGGGTTCTGATTAGAAAGTGGCTGCTAATGTAATTCAGGATCCCTTATATGAGATGGGCTGCCTCTTTTGTTTTCAAGATTCTGCCTTTGACAGTTTGACTATAATGAGTCTTGATGTGAATCTCTTTGAATTTATCCTAGTCGGAGTTTGTTGAGCTTGCTGAATGTATAGATTCATGTCTTTCATCAAATTTGAGATGTTTAGGCCATTGTTTCTTCAAATATTCTTTTTGCCCCTTTCTCTTTCTCTTCTATAATGTGTATGTTGGTTTGAGCGATGCTATCCTACAGGTCTGTTAAACCCTCTTCACTTTTCTTTAACCTTTATTCTTCCTGCTTCTCAGACTGAATAATTTCAATTGTCCTATCTTCAAATACGCCTGCTCAAATCTGCTGTTGAATCCCTCTAGTGAATTCATTTCAGTTATTGTAACTTTCAACTCTAGAATTTCTGTTCTAGTTCTTAAAAAAAAAGATTTATTTATTTGAGAGAGAGAGAGAGAGAGAGCACACAAGTCGGGGGGAGGGAGAAGCAGACTCCCCACTGAGCAGAGAGCCTGATGCGGGGCTCGATTCCAGGACTCCAAGATCATGGCCTGAGCTGAAGGCAGACGCTTAACCAACTGAGTCACCCAGGCGCCCCTGTTCTAGTTCCTTTCTATAATTATATAAATTGTATACTTTTAATTGTATAAATTTAAAATCTCTTGATATTCTCATTTTGTTTGTACATTGTTTTCCTGGTTTCTTTTAGCTCTTTAAGCACATTTAAGACAGTTGGTTTACAGTCTGTCAACCATCTGTGCTTTTTCAGGGACACTTTCTGCCAAATAATTTTTTCCCTTTGAATGGGCCGGCCTTATTTTCCTTTTTCTTTGTATTCTTGGTTATTTTTTTTGTTAAAAACTGGACATTTGAATATTTATCATGGTAACTCTGTAAATCAGTCTCTCCCTCCTCCAGGCTTTGCTGTTATTGATTGTTGAAGGTTACAGTCAATTGTTCATTTAGTGACTTTCTGAATAAGTTTTGCAAACTAAAACTAGTCTGTCATGCGTGGTCACTGAGGTCTCTTTCTTTAGCTTGTGTTCAGCTAGTGTTTTGACAGAGATTTCCTTGAACACTAACAGTAAATGAAAAGTAATACACCTCTCCCAGCCTTTGTGCTAGGGTGCTACTTTAACACTACATATAACTATCTTAGCTTCTGGCTTTTATTGCCTTAGATATGAGCCAGAGGTGAAGCTGTGATCTTCAGAGGTCTTTTCTGAGCATACACCCTGTCCTGGGCATGTATGCGGTTTCTGAACTCTCCGATATACAAGGTGCTTTTGAATGCCCTCGTTTCCCCAGCTTTCCCTCCTAGGCTTTAGGTGGCTGACTGTTCTGTTAACTGCTGTCCCAGGTGGCTGTGGGGTTTTAGCTCCCCTACAATGTTTCTGAACCCAGGGCTTTTGTGCCCTAAGTTCTGAGTATGGCAAAACAGAGACAAACATTTTGCATCAGTCCTTTATCCAGTCCCACACAGGTTAGGACAAACAATAAGTTTTGAGTAATATATTCTCTGCTCCCTTTGGAATTAGGGACCACGATCCCACACTGGGAACACAAGCCGCTCACTTTAAAACTGCCACTGAGCCAGGGGGAGTGTTTGGGGGCAAGAGCAAGTAAAAACACCACAAAGCTTTCCTACCATTTTTAAGTGGCCTTTTTCTTGATTTAGCATTTACCTGGTTGTTGTAAACCTGTTTTCTAGATTTAGATTCTTGACAAAGTTGGTCCTGGCACTTTCTGCTTGCTTTTTTTTTTTTGAGGGGGGTGGGGAGGACTGGGTATTTGGAACTATGTACTCCACCATTTTGTTCCACAGTGGCTTTTTAAACATTACCATTAATCTAGTTTTTTCTTTCCTTTCTTTTTAACGGAATAGAGCCTGTCCTCCCACACCATTCTCTGCCCAGCATACCATTAACCATTTGGTTCACATTCGGCCTCTGCCTGGGGGTAGTCAGCAGGCCTGTCTCTCAGGGCGACTTCTTGGGACCTCATCACGTCTCTATCTCCTAACACTCTCCTGCTCCAACATACCCAGGATGGCCTTGTACTACCTCTGCCTGTTGGGGGAGGTCATCAAGAGGATGTGACCGCTGGCTGGTTCGTGAGCTGGATCCAGGTGACTGGAGGCTCCCCATCCTTTTCCCTGTCCTTGAACATACATTCTGCTTGCCTTCCCTGCTCCCAGAAGCTGCCCCAAGGACACAGCGCTGAGACAGTGATGTGCTGCTGTGACCATCGAGACAGTGTATGTAACTAAATCCAGTTAGGGCCACTATATCAACTTTTAAGATTTGGCGGGTGGACACTAGGGTCTACTCGTATTGCAGCCACCCAAGACAAGCCTCTTAAATAAGTTCCCTTGATTATTAAACTGTCACCTACCAACCTGGGTGGCAGGCCTTGTTCTTCAGGCTCTCCCCTCCATGTACAGAGGCCAGTTTAAGTTATACCTGGGAAGTTCGTGAGGTATCCGAACAAACACTGCCATTAGCCCAAACTTCTCTGGCCACAAAGTCTGACTAGGGTACTCTGCCCAAGAGTGTCCTCTTGTAAAACAGCCACCATCAAATCGCAGTAAGGAAAACTAACACTGAGTAACCATCCTAATCACTGCTGAGGGGTCCACAGAAAAGGCAAGCTAGTTGAGGGCTCTTCAGGAAAGGACTCTCTAGTAGAGTTCCGAAGTGGATGGGAATGGCTAGGCAGTGTGAATGCAGACAGAAGGGAGTAGATCACGGCCTGAATTAGGGCTGTACCCTAAATGCAGGGGACTAACACCAGCCTGGTAGTTGGGATGCAGGGCTCAGCTAGCAGCCATCATATCACACCCCTCTATGTCAGGTGGGGAAACACAGTGTCCTGCTCAGGCACCCAGACACCCTGGGGCCAGGCCAAATTCCTCTCTGATCTCTAGCCTTGGTCCTCAAGTCCATGGGGCACCCCATCCCTAATGATGACATGGATGCCTCCTGGGGGTAAGCACAGGGTGACATGCACAAAGTCCCTCCAGAATGAGGGCAACCAGTGGGGAACTTGCTCCCAGTACCTGGCTGCTGAAGGTGAGAGGGGGTGGTTCCTGGCTCAGTGTAGCCACAGCAGTGGGGATCATGGAGTGCAGATCCAGCGTGGGTCACAACAGAAGCATCATTCACACAGGCCTGGGCTGCAGGGATCCAAGGGGATGGTCCAGGAACTGAGGGCTCCATTTCTGCCTCTTCAGAGCGAGCTCTGAGGCTGGGCATGGCTGGGACCTGGAGACCAGCAAGGATACAGGTGAGTGTACAGAGGAGCTAGCTCCAGAGATCCATACTCCCACCAGGCAGGGGTCTCTTCCATCCCTACAGCCTGAGACCTGATGTAGACCTGGTGCTAGGTCTCAGGGAAGGGGTAAGATGCTGACCTCAGGGCAAGGTGAGCACACGGTATCCCATGGGCACCCCTAGAAGGGCCCAGGGCTGCCATGATAGGAGAACAGCCCCACAGAGCCTGCACCCATGGTGGGCCCACCCCTCATTCCTGACACAATGTCCTGAAGGTGGAACATCAGATCCATTCACAGTGGAGTAGCAACTCCGGCAGCTGGGCAGCTAGGGGCAGCCTGTGCCTCAGAGGTGCACATGGTCATCATGGTGTCTGAGTTGTGGGTCCTCCCCTCCCCTCCCCCAGCAGCATCCACACTGAGGTCTCCACCATCCTGAGCCATCTCCCCACTGCACCAGGGGCTCCCTCCTAGGCTCCTTATCTCCCTCTTCATGTTGGTACCTCAGGGTTCACTTTTGAACCTACACCAACTTCCTTGGTTAAAGAAGGCATCAACACCCTTATCCTGTGAAGATTCCCAAGCTTGGGGTCATTTCCAGCTCTAAATGCTCCTTCCGAGGAGATACAATACTCCCACTGATACATGATGGGTTCCCCATAAGGACCAAATTAGTGATTCCCCCACCCCACCTACTACCCCTACTACCCTGTCTCTGCAAATGCACCATGCCCTGCTCAGTGGCCCACCCACACTGTGGCAATTCCCTTTGGCCCCTTATTCACACTGCACTACTGACAGAAGCACACAGTGGACACTGCCTGCCTACTGGGTAGTATGTAGTATAAGCCCTGACAGTTGTTTTGTTTTTTTTGTAAAGCAAGTGCCTGAATTAAGCTTTGATGCTGAAGCATCCACTGCAAACAGGCATCCATTTCAAAGATGGAATAAATGCCAGCCACTGGACTAGATAAAGAGCCAGGCCACCTCCCCTGACAGCCTCCTTTGTTTTGGAAATCTTGTTTGATTCTGATTACTGGCCATTTGGACCACTTGTTATTTTTCTCTTCCTGTGCTTTAAATTCCCACTCTTATGTTTTATTTTATTAAGAAGATTTTATTTGTTCATTTGAGAGAGAGAACACGCACGTGAACCAGTGTGGCGGAGGGGCAGAGGGAGAGGGAGAAGCAGACTCTCTGATGAGCGGGGAGCCTGACTCAGGGCTCAATTCCAGGACCCCGAGATCATGACCTGGGTCTGAAGTCAGATACTTAACCAACTGCCAGGCACCCCTCCCCTCCACTCTTATGTTTTAAATTCACCAATAAAGAGTGAGCCCATGAAACCCTAGGTCTCTACCTTCGACCTCAATAAAAGCAGAAATCCAGGCCAGTGCACCTCTCTCTCCTTACTGGAAACCTCACTGTGTGGCCCCAGGTGTGCTAATTTGCAGGGCCTGTAAGTAATAAATCTTTATTTTTTGAAAATTTCCTTGTTGCTGAAGGGCAATTTGCAATCACAGTAAGAACCACATGGGTTGGTCCAACCAAATCATTGGTTTTTGACAGGCTGAGACCAGCACGAAACAGAGGCAGCAAGAAAGGAGCAGAGCCCTGGGGCAGGCAGGCATTTAAACCAGGCCCAGGGAAGGGGGCTTAGGCAATGCCTGGTTAGAAAGGTAGAACAAGGGGCAAAGGTGTGGAGAGAGCTCAGAGACAGGGTCACTGGGGTACAGACTATCAGAGGCCATGGCTGCCTGACAGTGAGGCACCGGCCACGTTTCTATATTAGGACAGACAGAACTAACCTGACACGGATGCTCAGAGGAACGGTGCAGAGAAGATTCAAAGCAGGGAGAGCACTGACTTAAGGTGTCTGTCAGCAGAACAAAGCACATGTTGCTTCCATGGGGGGGGGATGTCCGTCACTTTCCCTCTCCCAAAGGGACAGTCATTTGCAATATTCATTCACTTTATTTTAAAATTCTTTAATTATCACTGTCACTGAATGGGGGCACCGTCACATGGCTCAAAATTCAAAGGCAAAAAAGGACTTACGGTGAAACACTCCCAGCCAGCCAGCTACTCTGCTCCCCTTCCCAGTTGCTAATGTGCCCTTCCAGAATATTCTATGCTCGTTTTACATCTTGTTTTTCTCACCTCAGTGTATGTGGGATCTTGCCCTGGAGGACACAGACCGAATCTGTGATAAATAGAATGCCCCTCAGCACCCATGTGCACATCCCGAACCCTGGAACCCGTGGATATGGTATACTACACAGCAAAGGAGGCCGTGCAGAGGGGATTACCTTGGTGGACCCAATCCAATTACGTGAACCCTTGCTGGCTCTGGGGTGCAAGGTCCCTGTGCAAGGACTGGGGCCTCGGGAACTAAGGACAGTCAGCAAAGAAACACACTTCAGTACAATAACCTCAAGGAATTCGATTCTGCCAACGAGCCTGGAAGCAGATTCTCTTGGCTAAGAGCTCAACAGGGTGCTAAGCAGAGACACCAGCCCCCTGCAGGCATCCACGGGGTGGGCATGGCTC